CGGGGGGGGCTGGGAGGGGCCTGGGCTTTACTGGGAGGGGCTGGGGCTTTACTGGGAATTACTGGGAGGCTTTTAGGGGTGACTGAGAGCCACTGGGACGGACTGGGGGGGGCTGGGGGGCACTGGGAGGGGCTGAGGCTTTACTGGGAGTTACTGGGAGGGGCTGAGGCTTTACTGGGAGTTACTGGGGGGGGCTGAAGCTTTACTGGGAGTTACTAGGAGGTGCCTTAGGGGTTACTGGGAGTTACTGGGAGGCTTTTAGGGTTTCCTGGGGAGTCACTGAGTGTTACTGGGGCTTACTGGGAGTTACTGGGAGGCTTTTAGGGTTTCCTGGGGAGTCACTGAGTGTTACTGGGGCTTACTGGGAGTTACTGGGAGGCTTTTAGGGTTTCCTGGGGAGTCACTGAGTGTTACTGGGGCTTACTGGGAGTTACTGGGAGGCTTTTAGGGTTTCCTGGGGAGTCACTGAGTGTTACTGGGGCTTACTGGGAGTTACTGGGAGGCTTTTAGGGTTTCCTGGGGAGTCACTGAGTGTTACTGGGGCTTACTGGGAGTTACTGGGAGGCTTTTAGGGGTTACTGGGGGGTCACTGAGGGTTACTGGGAGTCACTGGGAGCTCTCTGCGGTTACTGGGACACAACTGGGACTCCCTGGGAATCCCGTGCGGTTACTGGGAGCTACTGGGAAACTCCTGGGGGGGTCACTGGGTGCCTTTGGGGGGGGGGTCCCCGCTTCGCCCCGCCCCCCGGGGCACAGCAGCCAATGGGGGCGCGGCCGCCCCTCCCCCCGGCATTAACCCCGCCCCCATGGAAGTGCCTTTGGGGGGAGGGGAAAGCCCCGCCCCTCCCCCCCCGCTGGGGTCACCTCAATAAACGGTGGAGCGTTTGATTGACAGCTGAGGGGCGTGGCTTGTGCGCGCAGGGGCGTGGTTATCGCGGAGAGGGCGTGGTTTGTTCCCAGAGGGGCGTGTCCAGCTCGGCGCTGCCTCCGCCGGGGCGGAGCTTTAGCGGGAAGGGGCGTGGCCTCGTCCCGGAAGGGGCGGGGCGGGGCGCGGCGGGGAGGCCGCGGCGGAGCCGAGCGGGGCCGGGGCCGGGCCGGGCCGGGCGGGCGGAGGAATGCGGGGAGCGCGGCGGGCTCCCGGGACCGCGCACCGAGCCAGGCGCAGCGACGGGAAAGTTTATGCGAGGGAGGAGCGGAAAGTTGGGAGTCAATCAGGAGGCGGCGGGGCCGGGCCGGGCCGCCTCCTCCTCCCCTAACCTCCTTCCCCACCTCCTCCTCCTCCTCCTCCTCCTCCTCCTCCTCCTCCT